AAATCTAAACAGCTAGTGCAACTGTATATAATCTCGGCAAACGGTCATAGATAACAAATAAATAACTCAATGTAACTACTAGTGCAAATCGAACCGCTAAACAAATTTTCAAAACTATACTAGCTAGACAACAATTTTCGACAAATCACATTTATTTTCTTTTTTTCGAGGGGCTTTTGGCACGTTTTCCGGTGTTTTTGCACAATTTGCACATGAAGTTAATACACAACTATTAAATCAAACTGTGCTATACAAGTTTTCAAAACTACACTAGCTAGACAATGGTATGCAAAAAGTTTAGTGCATGAACAAATATAATATATTGTAAATGTTTAAAATTTAAAAAACTATCAGTTACCTGAAAGTTTAAAAGCCGGCTTTTCCTCTTTAATAATCACAAAACTGAACAAAAAATGCAAAGAATGCACGAACTACGAAGGCAAAATTTTCCACGTGGCACGCCATATATGGTCACGAGTTCCATATACGGATAAAATGAGCCCGCAAAGGGTGTTGAATGCACATACATTCCAGTGGAAAAAGGTGTTGAACACAATTTTTTCTCCCATATCTGAGATTAGGATGCTCCCAGCTCGCTCGCTGGTGCTCGCTCGCTGGTCGCAAAAAAGATTCAACGAAATATTTTATACGTGTGTACGTGGCATATTTTCAACATTTCACAGTACAGTATCGACAGTAGGTAAACCAAGCTACTGTTTGCCATAAAATTTCTATCGCAGGTTTTGATCTATCATAGAGATATGCATGCAAACTGTCAGCCAATTTTAAGGTACGTAATGTCTGGGAAGCATAATAATAATTACTTTTAATTGACTTACGATTACATACAATCTCAATTGTTCCCAACAGTCTCACTTTGTAAAGAAATCGATAAGTGAGTTTAAATCATTGGCGGCGGAACACGGGGGGGGGGGGGTCTAGGGGTCTTTAGACACACCCCCCCAGTAGTAAAAGTGGCGAGCTTAAAATATGTTCCGCCGCCGTTGGTTTAAATAAGTTTTATTTGATTTAGCAACATATTTTCTCATGAATTTTCCGAAATTTAGGTTTCTATCATCCGTGGACCGAGTGGAGTGCGTGCTTTACGATTGGTAATAAAGAAATGAAAGCAAGAAATCGAACCTGCTCAACCGAAGACCAATGTCGTCATTTGGGTGAAAATGTACAGCATGAGGAGTGCAAGCGTATTGTTGACGACGATGATGATGGTAGGTATATGAATCATCAATTGCGAAAAAGAAAGATTCCGTTTGACCATCATAATTAGCCTCAACCCGTCTTGTCTGTTTGCGGGTTCTCGGCATTGTCCTAGTGCAAATGCCATGTTTGCATGGCATTTAAAATTCTCAAAGGCAAAACTGCATGCCCAGCATGCCATTTTTTGAGAACTTTATTAACTCTGCGATATGGCGGGTCTACACTATTTTCTAGTTTTTTCTGCGTTTTCATTCCACTATTCCAGGTCGGAATTTTTATGCTGATCATGATGCCATTGCCATATGAAATCGCCAGACGTGTAGTTATGTAAACACCTGCATGCGATTGACTGTAATTTCAATGCGACATCACAGAAACTGCGTCATATTGTAAAAATTTCAATTCTGCTTGAAGTTCATCAAAACTCACTGCGTATTTTTTAGCTAAATGATCATCTTCAAGAGCGAATTAACGGTATAATTGCAATTCATTTTATTTTGCAAACACTATTAAATTAAAATTAAAATTTTGTTTCGGGGGCAAAATTTTGATAATTGAGGAAAAATCTAGGGTATTTTTGGGAAATTTAGGTATGAGGGGAAAAATTTGCAATATTTTGTTTAAAAAATGTATGCCCGGAAAACGTTTTTGTTACTATGTCCCAAAAAAATTTTTTCTGCCCCTTTTTTGTATATGTCCGAAAAATTTTTTGGTATGTGTCCGAAAAAAATTGGCGACGGGGGGGAGGAAATGTTAATTACGAAAAAGATCAGGTGAAATTTAGCCCCACCAAAATAAAATATGTTCCGCCGCCGTTGGTTTAAATAAGTTTTATTTGATTTAGCAACATATTTTCTCATGAATTTTCCGAAATTTAGGTTTCTATCATCCGTGGACCGAGTGGAGTGCGTGCTTTACGATTGGTAATAAAGAAATGAAAGCAAGAAATCGAACCTGCTCAACCGAAGACCAATGTCGTCATTTAGGTGAAAATGTACAGCATGAGAAGTGCAAGCGTATTGCTGACGACGATGATGATGGTAGGTATATGAATCATCAATTGCGAAAAAGAAAGATTCCGTTTGACCATCATAATTAGCCTCGACCCGTCTTGTCTGTTTGCGGGTTCTCGGCATTGTCCTAGTGCAAATGCCATGTTTGCATGGCATTTAAAATTCTCAAAGGCAAAACTGCATGCCCAGCATGCCATTTTTTGAGAACTTTATTAACTCTGCGATATGGCGCGTCTACACTATTTTCTAGTTTTTTCTGCGTTTTCATTCCACTATTCCAGGCCGGAATTTTTATGCTGATCGTGATGCCATGGCCATATGAAATCGCCAGACGTGTAGTTGTGTAAACACCTGCATGCGATTGACTGTAATTTCAATGCGACATCACAGAAACTGCGTCAAATTGTAAAAATTTCAATTCTGCTTGAAGTTTATCAAAACTCACTGCGTATTTTTTAGCTAAATGATCATCTTCAAGAGCGAATTAACGGTATAATTGCAATTCATTTTATTTTGCAAACACTATTAAATTAAAAGTGGTAGGGTTGCAACTTCCGGAAATATAACTTACAAGGAGAAATTCGACTTTTCAAGCGGGAAGTTAGGAACCCTTTGTCGGGAAGTTAGTGAACCTTCGCTCGAACGTCGATTGACCTGCGCTCGAAAAGTTTTTCAGGCTGTGAGTTGCATCCCTACCAACGAAAGCTTGTAATATCCAATGTTCTTTAAATATACACCATAACTGTGATAAACATTTAAATTTAATTTAATTGATGCTGACTTAATTTATGCCAACCAATAGCAGAATTGTTGCTATAGAGACAAAGGTCATTCGATTTATAGCTCGAACACGATACGACTCACAAGCTCGAACACGATACGATTTATAGTTTTTTGTATAGAGTTTTACGTTCATATTTTATACCAAATGTTCAAGAAAGTATAGAAATAAATACGATATTCAATACATGGCGCCCAACTTGAAAAAGCCCGTTCAGTTTAACGATTAAAACAACGATTAAAGCCGAGGAATAAACGCGATTGCAACGAAAATTATCGACAGACGAGAAGCATTGTTTATACAACGAGATTTATATCGATCAATAGTAACAACGATTTTCAACGATGTCAACAGAAACCGAAGAGAAATTGAAACTTAAACGATTACAAATGAGACGACAGGGTTATCGAGCATTCGTGATACGATTAGTTAAAGAAATTGATGAAATTTGTGAAGCAGAAAGCCACGATTACGAAAGAATTCAAGTCATAGATCAACACTTACAAGATAAACTAAAATTACTCAACGAATTAAACGAAAGCATCTTATTACTTTGCGATGTCGAAGAAATAACACACGAAATCGAGGAATCAGAAGAGATAAACGACCGAATCCTATCTAAACGAAAGAAAATAGAAACGATCTTAAAAAAATGGCGACAAAGTTCATAGTAAAATTAACAACATCGGAACTCAATCAACCGGAAGTATTGAAACTCAACCAACCGGAAGTAGTGAAACTCAACCAACCGGAAGTAGCGAAAACCAACACGTAATTAACAACATAATTCCAACAGTCGAAGGGCAACAACAAGAATCTACAGCTACAGTTCAGCTGACAAACACAAATGTGGAACAACAACATTCTATGAATTTACAATCTACACAAGTTAATCAGCAACATTCGAATTCTGCAACTAAGCCAAGGCTGCCAAAGATCACGTTGCCTCGGTTTAATGGAGAAGTGACCA